GGTGGGGCCGAGAGAGGGGGGGCACTGCCCCCCCCCCTGCTTTCTTCCCCTGCGCGTGCTCAGCCCGATCTTGAGCATGCGCAAGGGAAGGAAGCAGAGGGGGAGTCCCACTGGAACACTGGGGCGTTTGTTCCAAGGTATGATATAGGTTACGGCACAGGGATATGTGGGTGACAAGAACTGCTAGCTGCTGATAAGGGGAGTTAGAGTGGAAAGGACAACATACTCATAACGCGGGACATAGCATCAGTTAGGCGTTGATTTCAGCAAATGATATCAAGGGGAAGGTGGAGAATGCGACGACGGGTGACAAGAAATGATAACAGCAGATAGGGCCTGAAAGAGAACGATGCAGTTGTTGTTCAATCAAACGCTGGAGCCTCTACACCACGACAATTTTGGAGTTTAGTGATAGCGACATTGATGACGAGTGACAAGCAATTTTATCAATTGATAAGTAATGATAAGGGGACATTTTCACGACATCTCTGACCACTACACTGCCAAAAAAGCCTCTCAGTAAGCGAAATTTTCCCACAGCCATCACTCCTCTGACAGCACTAAAATTGTACTCATCCACTGTGGGGGGTAACGGTATATATTCGCGGCTGAAACAGGAAGTTTGGAGAAATCAAAAACTCCAATATTGGAAACACACTTTATGCGTTCAGCGATTATTGAATTGTTTTTTTTTTGCTTTTCAACAGTAAATCACTGATGAGAACGAATAACGGAGTAGTTTCTAAGATATGTGCAATAACTCTTGCCTAAAAGTTACTGGTTTATATAATAGAAGGATGGGTGGTCTTGAACTCCCAGCCGAGACTCACAGGCTTCCATTTTGCATGAATGCAGATGCGAAGCCGCCGTGAAAGACCGCCATTGCTCGTCGCCGTACGAGCAACCGTATTGTTGGGCAGTACTCGGGCACGGACAATACTGAGACCTCGGTTAAATCCTTGTTCGCCAGCCGACCGATTCTAACTTCTCTGGTCAATTGAAGGGGCTGCCCAGCGGCAAACGCTGCGATGATCTGCTGATCGCCGAAACTGGCATCGACAGCATTTTATTAAATTTTGCTAAAAAAGAGATTCTAGGGGTCCAAACGCTACCTTGACAGTGCGCAGAGGTCACTGATGAAGGAGGGATCTGCTCTACTAAAACTAAAATATCAGTTCTTCATCTGTTTTCCTTTCATTCTATTTGAGTAAACCCTCCACGTTTTTGAACGAGATGACCTAATATCATGCAGTTATTTATGTATCTTGAGAGGGTCCGAAAGCGAATCTAGCTGCTAAAAGCTTCTTCTATTGCTAACCGTTCTCTTACAGTGACTTGGGAGTGGAAAGCTTTCCAGGTTCAGGTATATTGCAATCTCCCAGTCATGCGACTGTGATAGTGTTCTGCTGTTCTGCTGATTACTTTCAATCTGGGCTGCACATTGCATTAAAGTTGGAATAAGTTAGAATTTCCCTGAAGGCAAGGTTAATGAGTTATTTTAGTTGTTGCTCAGACACTGCTGTAGGCTAACAAGGAACACTATCGTCACGCGCATAGTTCATGTCCGATTATAGCAGGTCCAGTGAACACTAAAAAGCCGATCGTTGACTATGAAGCTGGTCAAAAATCACTTTGACTTAACAGCAAATGCCTTGTTTGCAGAAAACCGATATGATTTCATTTTGAATGCGTTCATACTTTGCTTCAATGCTTTGAGCGGCTGGGAACATATTGTGTCAGTCTAGCGTTTCGAGCGTACGCCAGCGTTTCGGCGACTGGGGGAGTGTAGGTGTCGATCCAGCATTTTAACACGTTCCGGACCGCGTGACACACATGGTGTGTCATGAAATTGCCTCTATGCTGCCTTTGATTATTTTGATTATTCTTTCATGTTCTGTTCTTGT